GGTAGGTCTTAAAGGGTTAAGGTAGTGGCTTGTGTGGGTTAAGGTTCTTCATGGAGTTACTGGCTGCCAATTCCTGTGGTCTGGTCAACAGTATTCCTCTAACTTTGAAATGCATCACTGTTTTCCTGTAAACATTCAAGGACAATGAATATGAGTGTTAGGTTTAGAAAAAGCTGGTTTGGGTTTCCATTGTAGCGTGTCCCTGCTTTGTCTGTACAACAAGGCTCCTGCAGACACAAAAGTTACTTCTTATACAAACGGATTTCTTACAAATTCCTGCTGACTGTGACGAATAAAAAGGATTCAACTGCCTCCATGAACATGAGACAACTTTGGGACCTTTTTCTTGATGATTTCTGGTTTTCTTGTGAGACCTGTTTGAGAAGAAAAACTTAAGATTTATTTGCTTTTCCAGCCTTTTTGTCATCTTTCAGTGTCGCTGATCTTTCCTAACTCAACTTGGGGAATTTTATTGTTTCAGCTGGGAGGGCCAACAAATCTCATGATGCCAATAAACGTGTACGTGACCAAGTGATGGAGTCAAATGGAAACCAGGACCAAGCAGCTCATCGGGACCTACTGTAGTTGGGGCACGTGTGTGTGTGTGAGAGAGACTGAGTGGATGACAGCTTTTGATAAGAATGGAAAACAGAGCTAGATCTTCCTTTGATGTGGACACACACACGTGAATGCACACACACACACACACACACACACACACACACACACACACACACACACACACACACACACACACACACACACACACACACACACACACACACAGATGCAACCTCAGTGTATGGAGCTGTTGAAGAATAAATGCATGAAGGGTTGAAAAACATCCTCTGTGAGCTGCTATCCATCAATGGATCAGGCTGGTTTCCGGACACACACACACACACACACACACACACACACACACACACACACACACACACACACACACACACACACACACACACACACACACACACACACACACACACACAGACCTGTTACACACTCACACTTTGTCAGTCTTGCTCTCTTGAAACTCTCAGTGTAATCCTATAGTCAGTCTCTCTCTTTCTCTCCTTCAGTGTAACCCTATACTCGATTGCCCCGTTTCTGAGTTTAATGAGACTATTGTTGGTCTGCACTTCATTATCTCAACTTCCCATAATTATCAGACTCTATACATGGAAACAAAACACCACACAAATAGCATGCTTTCTGAGTGTGTTTTCTTGTCTTTAGCTTCCTTTCAATATTAACTGCACCACAGTGACCTTCTTGCAGGAAACAGTCCGCTCCAACCTGCACATTAGTCCCTGGGCAGGCCTGGTGGACTCGTGCAGACTTCACTGCACTTGTTTCAGCTTACAACTAAGCTATAAACAAGATGAATTTGATCTGTTTTATTAAACATACTTTTAATGGGTGTATGGCTGGAAAAAAAGGAGGAGCAAATACAAATGTACACTTCAAATAAGTTGGTGAGGTGGATGAAGGGCGAAAAGAGAAACCCAAAGATTTCGTTTCACCAATCACATGGATGCTATTGTCTGAAAAGACCCTTTTAAAAGCTCAAAAGAGCCAAAAAGAGTTTTCATGTTATATATTCCTGTTACACATTTTTCATCATTCAGTCCTACTTTATGTCTATTTCAAGGACTTTGTCTTCTTTGTTTTTTCCCTCTTTCCCCCTTTTTTTTGCCTCACTGACTTTCTTCAGTCTAAATCTGATGTTTCTTTTCTCTGTTTTAATATGTTTTCCTCCCATAGGGGAGCTCAGTTATGGCAAAAATCATAAATGCTGGAGTTTGTCTGGGCGATAGGCCGAGACTTGTGGCGCGTCCCTTGGAAAGGGCAGCTGTGTGTGTGGGTGCAGATGTGTGCAATAAGACCTGTGTGGTAGCTACATGGAGCAGTCCTGATTATCTTGTTTTCATTAATCATTAACAGGCAGGATTGTAATAGAGATTAAAACCTGGCTCTGGCATCCTGTGTCCTTTGTTTGGGTCCTTTCCCCCTGTGACCAATAACAAGTAGAGGTTGGCAGACCTGCAGACTCCTCTGGATCAGAAAGGAGGATACTTATCTATATTTATGTAATGCCTCCTCCTTCGTTGACTGCGTAATAATATTTAGCTTTAATTATTTTACATATTACTGTAAAACATGCGTGGCTTCTTCTCTGCAGTGATGAAGGAATGAAATAACGTCCCTAAGAGCGCTGCTGCTTCTCAATCTAAAGTGTAAATTAGCTTCGTCTGTGTGCTGTCTGTGAGTTAATTGTTTAATGTGCTGCTGTCCTTGCTTGCCGTGAATGGCTCCATCAGGGATCAATAAAGTATTTGATTGATTTATTGATTGATGGAGAGGGGATTGGACTCTGGCCTGCTTTCTTCTTCATTGAGGATTCGCCTCCATGCAGCCTGTTAATGAGGTCTGGTGCCTTTGTTCAGCCATCAGTTGGCGCGTTTGATAGAGCTGAGGTTGGCGCTCTGTGCAGACCAGTCCGGTTCTTCCATCCCAAACTGGGATTGTATCTTCATGGAAACAGGCCACCATCATGTAGAAAAGGAAAAATGAGCAGTGTGATTGTCTTACCTGGACTAAATATGTAAAACGGATCAAAATCGAAAATTGTGCTCCTGTTGACTCGGTGTTCCATGCAGTAGTGTCATCTGGTTATTTGTAAAACACCTTGTGCAGCTGTTGACATCGCAGAGGTGTCAGGCAGAGTGGGAGGGGGGGCAGGTGTGATTGAGCTTCATCAGGTTGGAGTCGATCGTGGAGAGTTTTTCAGGCTGATTGCTGCCCTTTCAAAGGGCCCGAGCGGCCGCTGAATGATGAGCGAGGTGAAGCTGGGGTTGTCCTGAGTGGCAGAACGCCGTCTCAGAGGACATAATCATCCTGCGAGCGACGAGGCCGTTCAATCACAGCTCTGTCCCGATGCCCATAGACACTCCTGGCACTCAAATCAAACGCTCGTCAGCTCATGACTCGAGGATTCAAAATATACTCAACAAGTGTTTTCTATCATCAGTTTTGACCTAAAGAGGGAGGCCGCTTTTATTTGACTTCTTTACTAAAGCCTCTGCATCAGCACTGACGCATTTCGCAGCTCTATTACCATAAAATATGGAAGTTACAGCATTATAGTCCTTAATTGTAATGTGCTCGGCAAGTTTATGCTTTGCAAATGTCACCAATGATTTTTTTTAAAGTGAAGCTGAAATGGACAGATGTGAAAATAAAATTATGTCAAAACTAAAGTGATTAATCCCACAGCGGCAAACACAGTAAGCTGGATGTTGAGCATGCTCAGTGACTTCTTTACAAACAGCTGCTCTGAGATTCATAGTCGTTAACCCTTTAAAGCCGGTCGGAGCGGGCACGCTCCATTTTGCGTAACTATTTTTAAATCCCGGTAGCTCTGCAACCACGTAAGCTAGCGCAATAATTTTTTTTGCATATGAAACCGGAGGAGTTGTACTTGCATCTTATGCCATCAGCTTGTCCTCGGTCATAGTTTCCTTCCACATATAGCTTTGCAAAAACTGCATAAAAAGCACTTGCAGCAACAAAAACATAATATTCCAGAAACTCGCTTTGCCGATCCGATCAGCTGTTCATAACACTTCCTACGTTGGAATAGACGTCAGCGCGAACTATCGCATGTCCGCCATGACCTGCCTGAAACCGGAAGTGACGTCATTTTCGCGGAAATGTAGTTTTTTACCATCGGGACCATATGAGCCTATACTGGTGTTTTTAAAAGTTATGTTTGACTTTATGACTTTCTGTGTCGTTTCTGGGATGCTGAGGACTCATATTGCACTGCTGGAAATAGTTTATTTTGATGCATATGCTGCTTTTTTCCAAATTTGCAGTATAATATTTATTTTCGTTTTTCCTGCAGTGTATGAAAATTGGTGTATTTCAAAAATAAAACTAAGAAGACACTCAAAATAAATTTAAAGTGTCTAGTTTGTGCAACTTTTTTGTATTTACAGTTTTGAGGGATAAGCCTCTTAAATTTCTGTAACTAGAAATATATGTTAAAAAAACAAAAACGATTTTCAATTTTTTTGTAGTTTATTGAACTTTTTTTCAATTTATGTAATTACTATGGACTTAATGCAGACATATTATTAAAATCTGGGCTATAATGGTTGCATTGATGTATAGCAACTTGAAATGCTCCCAAAAATGGCTCCACAGCATGTAAACATATAAAGTAAGCTCTGGCGGACTTGGTTCTATGGTAGGTCTTAAAGGGTTAATATTGGGAAAAATTATGATTCATAACACAACACGAGGATGTTGTTCTGGTGGTCAGTCAGCTGTTTTTTTCTGACTATATGTGAGACGTCAGCAGATTTTGGGCTCGTGATTTACTTTTCAATCTACAGATTTCATATTCTGGTTTAATTTCAGCACTCGCAGTAAAAGCTAAAAATAACAATCATCATAATAATCCTGCTGTAAAGTTGAAGCTGCCATGCTGCTTATAATTATTAAAACCATTAAAGCTTTTGTAAACTTTGGAGAGGACTCAACAATGAAATGTGTCAGAAATATCTGAAATACTTCGTGTGTCATCTCTACATTTTTGATGTTTGCAAACATGCACTGGTTTAAATTTTGTTAAGTTTAAACATAATCGTATACAGCACAACTGGATCGATTTATATTTTGATTTACTGAACTGCTACAATGCTTTGCATTTCTTTTTCCTGTGACTTGATGAACGAGTTTCCAGCAGCAGCAGCTCCGCTGGGTTTTGGTGACAGTGTGTTGAAGTGTGTTCGGTTTGATTCAGCAGGTTGTGGGATTAGATTAGATTACTATGTTCAAACTGGAAGTTTAAAGTAGGAAGTCATTTTTCATAGCTAACCTCTGTCCTCTGTGTGTGTGTGTGTGTGTGTGTGTGTGTGTGTGTGTGTGTGTGTGTGTGTGTGTGTGTGTGT